TCAAATAAGGTCTTCTACTATTATGAAATAGTCACAAAAGCCCATGTACTCGATAAAGTGTCATATAAGTACATCTACTTGTAAAAAGCAATCAAATGAGTCCTAATGACCTATTTAACACCTCTTAATCCTGGATTCAACGTACTTCTGATCATCTTTTTAGAATACATTATACAACATATGTTGAATATTTAACTAAGATTGGCTGAAATACAAGTCAAAAAAATCAACATGTAAGCTAGAATCGGGATTAGGAGGTGTTAAATAAGCCGTTAGGACTCATTTGATTGCTTTATACAAGTAGAGGTACTTATATGACACTTTATTGAATACATGACCTTATGTGACTATTTCATAATAGTAGAAGGCCTTATTTGACCATTTTCTCTATTTTCTATAAGTATACTGACGTGCTTGATGCAGGCAACAACCAACAGTGTACACATGCCTGCACTTTATTTTGATCATCCCTAAAAGATTTCTTGTAAGACCATCTGGGTTCAAGCTATATATGCCCACATAGCCCCTGCTTTTGGGGCTGGTAAAAGTGTTTGGTCATATTTGAGAAACCCTTTTCTAGACACCAAGTCATAGAAGAAATGGTCATCAAAGACCTCGAGCCACCAAGTGTTGGATTTAGAGACCGAGTGCGGTGAGTAGGCTGCTGAAAGAGATTGCATTTGGTCTTAGGCTTGGCATTATACTGTCTGAACTTGTACTCTTGCTGTTAAGTTATCCAGCCTTCCTAACTTCACATTCAAATAAGGCCCTCCACTCTACATTCACCCCAAAATCTTTTTTCACTTTCTGATATTATAAAAAGGATCCAATTTTCAACGTCCCATGACGAACTTTATGAAAGTTAGTAGGGAATTTATTAGATACCTTATAAGTTTAAGACTTTTAAATGCAAAGAAAATGGAGTGATTGAAAAGAGACTTAAAATCTGATTATATGCAATTGTTAACAAACAGTTTATTTGTTTCTTTTGAAAATATATTCAATATTTTAAAATAGTTTTATATTCAACTCCTAGGGGGGAATATATTTTAATATTTATCAGTTTTGAAATTTTTACTTCTCTAAAAATTTCATCAATTTTTCTAAATGCTTATAAAAAAAATAAAAAAGTTGAATTAATTGTTTTTGAAAATAGGCATTCTTTTAACATACTGAGTTACTTTTTAGTATGAAATTAAGCAAGGATGTACATACATCAATTAAATACTTCAATTTATTTTCTCACATCAAAATATAAAAAAAGTCAATTTCTTGAAAAACAAAACTACACCATGCACATTGGTGTATTGAGCATGTTTGTATTTTTAATGAGTATACACACGTGCTTCAGGTAGGCGAGAGCCAAGTATACACAAGCCTGCAGTTTGTTTGATCATCCCCTAAATGAATTTCCTAGAAGATCATCCTGGTTTAAGCTATACATGACCACATAGCCCCTGTTTTAGGGGTTGGTGAAACCGTTTTGTCCGATTTGAGAAACCTTTTCCAGACACCAAATCATAGATTAATTGGTCATCAAAGACCTTGGGCCATTAGGTGTTGGATTTAGAGACTGAGTCTACTGAGGAGGTTGCTAAAAGAGTTTGTTTGCTCTTAGGCTTCTATATTTTGTCTGAAACTCGTACGCTTACTGTTATGTCCAGCCTTCCTAACTTCACATCCAAATACGGCCCTCCACTCGACATTCACCCCAAAATCTTTTTTCACTTTCCGATACTTATAAATCGATTTCAATTTTCAATGTCTAATGACGAACTTTATGGGAAGGTTAAAGATTAATTAGCACATGAAACATGTTAAAATAAGATGAATGGATTGAAACAGGTTTTAAAATAAGAGTATGAAATTGTTGACCAACCTCTTGGATAAAAAATCATTCCTAAATACAACATAAACTATAACAAAACGCAATATCTCAACCTTAGGAAGGGATAGAAAAAATTAGGTACAGAAACACGTTAACAAATACACACATTACGAAAAATTAAGTTAAACTAAATTATGTAATTCTTATCCTATTAGATTTAGGGTACAAAATTTCAGGTGATCTCAAATCTCAATTGTCATGTTTGAAGTTCTTTTAAACCTCTTTTACTTTTAAATTGGTTCTCTTATTTACTATAGCAGCGAATACTTTTGGTTTTTACTAACATTACTTCCCTTTAATTATCTAATAACATTACACTTATGTTGTTTTACCGTTTCAATGACTGCTATTTTGAATTGCTAGAAGATATTTTACCATTGCAAAGTAAAAAGACATGCAACCTCTTTTAAATCAGCCTTACATTCTCAATGCCCCTCTAACAGAGTTTACATTTTCTACAGCTGAATACAACTTCACATTTTCTACATCTCAGTAGAGATCACTCAATAAAAAAATTATAAATACGTAATTCAGTAGTTATAAAATTCTCTACCAACACTTGATATTATGTTTTTCATAATCAATAAGGGTTTGCGGTGTGCTGGTTCATAACCGAACACACACAAAAAACTTTCTCTCTCCTCTATTTGTCTTCACCCATGATGAAAGCTACTAAAAATCAAGCTATTGGCGAAGCAGACTCAAGTGCCATAAAAAGGGTAGAGGAAACTTGTAATTGATGAAAGCTTGGTATCAGACGGTACAACAGCCCAACTGGACACCTTCCAAGAAGTCACAACAACATCTAGCAAAAACTAAAAGGAAAGAAACACCACAAGGGTTAGTTCAGTTCGAAATCTTAAAAATAATTGTGTAACAATTTAACGGCACGAGTATGTGTCATCTAAAATGATTATTGAAGAAGTTGTGTTGTTTAAGTATGTAACTATTGTACTAATTTAGGATTAGGATATTTAATACTAATAAATAAGAAAGGCATACCTTGATTGCTTTGACTGTAACTAAGACTATTTGAAATTATCTTATTAATAGATCGATAGCTTTTCAGCAAATTCCTTTATTCCTACTATTTTATAAACATATGTTTTCCATCAATGTAATGTATAAGCAGAACAAGAACATTACAATACAGTCTTGGCTTTAGCTTCTAATGACATTATGAAGTTTTTTCATAGGTAAAGTGACTGTTGAGACTTGAGTCTAAGTACCTTGTAAAGGATCAAAGAGGAAAATTATGCACTATTTTTCTTTTCATATAAGTTATTAAAATAAGCTATTGTTATACGCAGGTCTAAAACCACCAAACATCAATTATTGCCAGTTTTAAAGAATCACTTAAATTTTCTTTTTTCATAAAAAATATTAAGTTATTTTTCCTTTGTTTTTCGAATGAATGATATTCAATCATGCTTGCTTTTTTAAAGTATATAATGTTATAAAGTACGTAGTATATTATTCAATGTTTGATTTACTTTTTATAGATATATGCAAATTCACACAAACATCTAATGTTCAATTATAAACTTATTTTAACTAATATAATATTCTCATAAAACTGAGAGTTCTATTTTACCTTCTTTCATGGTTATTAATTTTAAACTTTTACTAACATAATTTAACTATATTACCTTAAATTGGAATTGTTCATTATATTACTTATATATTGGGCAACCGGCGCACGTAGTGCGTACACTGCTAGTTACTACGTATAAGTTTTATAATTATTATGATGTAAATACAATTATAATCACTAAATTTACGAGAATCACGTTTGGTCCACTAGTATAATTTTAGTTATTTCTTTGCGGCGGGAGTAGATTGGATGTGGGGAAACCAGCTCCCCCTAACTCCATTTACGTACCCAAAAATACCCCCAATCTTCATTAATTGGGTTCAAATGAATCCATTTTTAACGTTTTTCACTCATGAATTTCTCCGACTACAAATTCACTGGCTCGCCCAATCAGTTAGAGAGCGTTGATCGCAAATTATACCATGCAACCGGCGCACCATGGGGATGGTGCGCCCGGTTGCAAAACGACGCAGCTTGCCCCCTCCCCCCTTTTTTTTTTTTGCTTTTGTTGTTAAAAAATGATAATAACTTTTTTATTTTTGATCCGATTTTTATAAAATTTATATCAACATTTTTTATTTTTCATGATCTTTCAAATGAGACCAATATTGCTTATGTAATTTTAAGAAATTATCGAACTATTATATTAATGAGTGTTGGATTATAAGGAAAATCGAATCTGTTTGGGAGATGATAGGTTTGTGAAATAGAAGATCGAATCTGTTTGGGAGTGGATCAGTGGCCTCAGTTACATTTGATAATACATTGAGTTACATCTTTTTATGAGCAAGTTACATCTTTTTATAAGCAAGTTACATCTTTTTATAAACAAGTTACATCTTTTTATAAGCAAGTTACATCTTTTTAAAAGCGAGTTACATATATATAAACACGAGTTGCATTTGACATGCATGAACGCGACTTACATATATTTACACGTAATGTTACATAGTTTTACACGTTAAGTTACATATTTATACACACGAGTTACATATTTATACACACGAGTTGCATTTGACCTATCTGAACGCAAGTTACATATTTTTTTACGTAAAGTTACATATTGTTACACGTAGAGATACATATTTATACACACGAGTTGCATTTGACTTGACTTAACGTGAGTTACATATTTTAACACTTAAAGTTACATATTTTACACACAAATGTTAATATGTTAAAATTACATAGGCAATATTGGTCTCATTTGAAAGATCATGAAAAATAAAAAATGTTGATATAAATTTTATAAAAATCGGATCAAAAATAAAAAAGTTATAACCATTTTTTAAAAACAAAAGGAAAAAAAAAAAAAAAAAAAAACCGTCCCGGTATACGGTGCTCACCGTATACCGGTTGCACGGTATACGCACTCAGCGTTGATCATTGTTTTCGCTACATGTTTTTCACTTGTATTTTGAAGTCCCACCAAATAGCTGCTCGTCGAGATGTAAATTCACCATGTTCACAATTTCAATTAAAAGACAATTTTGATCATTAACACTTGCTCAAGTTTCACTCCATATGAAAATGTAATATTCTTTTTAGTGGGGAATTAAACAAAGATAACGTTTAAATCAACCATTAATATTTACTACACGTGAGTACTGCAAGGGATTTGTAACCAGCCAAATCATACATGACTTCTTCAATTTCACAACATGACAACAATGAAACTAAACTATTCCGTTTCTTTGATTTCTAATACAGAAGAAGGCATATAACACTTCATCAACAACATAATTATGCAGAAATTATGATTTAACATTTACTATCCATGATCAGCTTTCTTACAAATTGGGGTCACTACATATTCCAACATTGCAATTCAACTTCCTCAACAAAAAGACTCTCACTGTGGCAGCAACTATAAAAGAAAGAAATTCATGTGGACTTCCTTTTCTTTTGCAACCTCTGTCGTCTCATCCACTTCAAGTAAATTTGGTATGACAACCCTGAGAAGACCATAGCAACGCTTGACCATTGTTTGCTAGAGAGGGGATTCCCGCTCAGCAATGAGGAAACGACTATGCTAACAAACTTGCGAGTCGTCGTTATGGTTGTGTTTGTTAGGGAACCGAACCGGCTGATAGTTAGGAAAATAAAGTTTTGTCCGACCGCACCACAAAGACAGTACATGAAAATGTCCCATGCCGCTTCTGGGTGCTGCCTGCAGAACTGAACTGCCTCATACCCGCTTGCGTTAGACCAACCGAACATGAATATCATGTTGTACATTGTGCCCCATAGATTCATCCCCAACATTATATCCCATGCACTCGTCTTGGGATATCTAAGGGAACAAGAAGGTTTATGAATCCATTACTAATTTTATCATATAAATATAGTTTACCACGGAAGATTTGCTACAGCATCATATTCCCTGTCTTCCACAATAATAACTACGGCGGTTGATTTTTTTAGTTTCACACTGTACAGATGTCACTTTTTCAAAATTAAAGCATCAATTTGTTTTAAGGCTTTGTTTGGTAGCCATAATGAAATTATATTGCAGAATAATAATCCCTCCTTCCCATAAAATTCTTCTCACTTACCATTTTTGGACAATTTGTGTGGTTCACATTCATTTCACATTTTTCTTACACAACTACAATCACACATTTCCATTTTATTCCACTTTCTTAATCTCCGTGCCAAGTCAAAGTGGGAAGAATTTTATGCGACGGAGGGAGTAATTAACTTTTAGGCAAAATAACCATGACCAAAGCAAGCAAGCACTATTACTCCCTACGCCCAAAATTATGCGTTGTTTTAGCCTTCCATATTATTATCCTACATAAACCGTCATCTTGGGACATTAGGGACTTTTTCCAGCGAAAAATAAAACGGCCACAATGACTGCTGGAAAATTTTCCAGTGAAATTCAGAAAAGTAATTAAAAAATAAATAAAAATTACAGCGAATTTTCAAGGCGACCGACCGTTGTTGCTGGAGTGGAGCAATGGAGTGGGTAGTTGAATAGGAATTAGACATAAAATAAATTTATATTAATTAAAAAAAGGTTAGCCCCAATTTTTGAAATTATAAACTAAACATGTTTTATCTTTCAAAAGTGTAGAGGTAATATTTTTGCTATTTTTCAATTAATTGTCTAACTAGTGCCTTAGAGCACGACATACACAGGTTTTATGTGTGACCATTTTCTAACAAGGCCATCATGGCTTGAGGATGCAAATTACTTTAATATTCCATACCTTGAGATTAAAAACCACAACTAATTTGAGGGTTTTTATGAGGGATTATTAATAAGAATGAGACGGTTAGAGACTATATGGGTATAGAAGTTGATTTAGGTAATTCGTGAATTTGTGACATTTTAATAAGAATGAGATGGTTGATGATTTTATTATACTAGATGGTATGATAGATTGAGATTTTGTGAGAAGGATTCAAACGACGGAAGTTAAAGAGACTTTGAGAAAGAATTAATTCCACTTTAGGTCCTCCGAGTTTTGTGTCATTTCCATATTTAGTCATTGTCTTTCACTTTATCCATTTTTGGTCCATTTATGAGCATTTTTACTATCGGAAAAGGACTATATATGGTGAAGAAAACAATAGTCAGGTACCAAAAATGGATAAAATGAAAGACGAGGACGAATTGTGGAATTGGTGCAAAACTCGAAGGACCATAAGTGGAATTTCTTCCTTTGAGAAATATGGGGCGGAAGAAAGCAGTGATTCCAGATGATACACCAATCGAGGCTTGGAAAAGTTTGGGAGAGAGAAGCGTCGAGCGATTAACACGATTCTTGAACAAGATTTGGAGAAACAACAAAATGTATACGGATGGGCGGAAGAGACACTTATTCCCCTATTTAAGAATACCAAAGGTTTAGTACTGAGTTGAAGCAAGAGTGAGTATATGAAGCGCAAGTTTGGTGGAGGTAGAAATAGAGGTAAAAATGAGATTACCTTTGATGGCAAGGAGATACCGATATGTGATATATTACATTACTTTGGCCCCATTATTCAAAAGGACGGAGAACTAGATAAAGATGTATCCCATAGAATTAGAATAGGGTGGATGAAATGGAAAAGTTATCAAGATTTCTACGTGATCGAGATATGCCGACGAGACTGAAAGGTAAATTTTATCAGACAACAATTAATTATGCAATCACAAGAGGAGTGTGGCAGAGATGCGCTTGTTGCGTTGAATGTATGGAAATACCAGAAAAGACCGCTAAAGGAATGAGGTAATAAGATTAAAAGTGAAAGTAGCACTTATAGAAGATAAGATGCAGGATTCACGATTCCGGCATTTGATCATGTGCGTAGGAGACCGAGTGGGGCACCTCTTAGACGAGTTGAGAGGTAAAGAGAAGAGACGGAGAGGAGAGAGAAAGGAAGATCAAAACATACGTGGATCAGACGAATCAAGAGTGATATGATTCTTCTTAGATTGGATGAGAGTATGGTTTTAGAGAGAGCAAGGTGGAGGACAAATATTCGTGTGGAATATTGATCTCTTTTCTCTCTTTTTTCTTTTATCTTTTTATCTTTCTTATGTTCTTTATCCTTTTATCGATTTTATTTTATACTTCCTCCGTTCTTTTTTAGTTGCAACATTCTCATTTTCAAGCTTGTCAACACAAAACTTTGGCCGTCATTATATTTAATTCTCTATTAGTAAGAAAATTAAAAATCATATTATGAAAATTTGTAATGAGCGAATTCAACAATACTTAAAAAAATCTCATACATTAATAAATAAAATGTAATTAAAATAAAGTATGTGAATAGTGTCAAATTTTCTATGTTGCAAATAAAAAGAAATGGAGGATAGTACATTTTCTTTTTATCCTATTTATCTTATCATTTAATCGATAAGTTATATATCCTTATCTTTATCTTATCATTTTTATCTTACCTTATCTTTGTTTTCTTTTTTGCTCTTATATCATGTACTGATTCATGTTTGTCTATCCCAAAATCTTTTGGGACTATTGCTTGGATGTTGTTGTGACATTTTATTAGCAAGTTTCTCTTCTTCCCTTCTCCATCTCAATATATTAAACCAATTGTAGTAGTTTAGGTATACTATGACATTGTTTGTTAGGTTCTAGAAGATGCGATAAGTTTCTTCATCTGTTTCCTTGATGAACAGCTCTCATGAAACGTCGGAAGTAAGTGGATGGGCCAGCAAAGTGGTTGGATATTTAGGTGCACCAAGATTATTTTCAAAAGAAATCTAACCTTACAGCAATGGAATCCTGAGTAGCATTGGTGAATCCATCAAATGCAAGATTCAAAAAACACAGTCCATATCCAAGTGGAGCGTTTGGATGAGCCAGCTTGCTTATGGTTTTTGAGCTAGTCTGAAATTGACGAAACATAATTATAAGCTCCAGAGTGGAGCACAAAAGCATTTTGATTGACCCAAAGCTTTCTACATGAAGCATGGAAAAATAATAATTTGGGAATGGAAACAACTAAATGTCTACACATTTGAGGTACACTTTTACCTTTGAAAGTGCAAAAGTTGATACTCCACCAGCAACAAGTAGTGTACATATATACTCAGGAAGTGTATACCGAATGCCATATACAAGTGTACCCATTAACATTACTGCAAAAAGTTGTAAAAATTATCAATCACCAAGAGAAATTTCCAGTTTCAGGCAATAAAACAGAAAACAAAATCAAGAGGACAGATGCATTGCTATTTGTCATTCCAAAACACACTTTGTTAAATGCTACCCCCAAGTCAGTAACCGTTTTTCACTTGTTGCTGTTGCATATTAGGTTCCTTACATGCTCCATTTATATATTGAGTTTAGCTAATGGTTTCATGAAAACACATAATTCAAGTACTGTTATAAACTCATACCCCTCTGTTCCATTGGACATTGCCTACTTTTATTTAAGTGTGGAATAAGAAAATAAGAAAAAGTAAAAACTATGTGGTTGAGATTTGTGAGAGAACCACAAATTCATTACTTCAAAAGAAAAATGGCAAAATTTTTGGGACAAACAAAAAAACAGTTGACAAAGTCCAATGAGACGGAGGAAGTAATTATTATAAATTACAAATATATGCAACGTTTATAGGGGAGTCTTGACACACCAGTAACAATGTTACTATGTGAGGCAATCTTGGGAGCAGTATGTTGTCAAAATGACAAGGAAAGGCTTGCTCGTTATATTAATGTGCACCAAGCCCCCCCCCCTATGGATACTACAACATTAATTGAGCCCTTTATACTAATTTATGTTATAAAGCAAAATGGCTCACTAAACTGTCTGCGCTTCTTTGTTATGAAGCAGCAGTCAGTCCATGCAATTTTGGACGGGATTTTCACTATGGGTAATCCGGAAACAGTCTCTCTGTGCTTTAGTACAGGGGTAAGACTGCGTACATCCGACCCCCCCTTACCCCACCGTAGGTGGGAGCCTTTGCGGCACTGGGGTAAATGAAAATGATGATACTAATTTATGTTGAAGCCAATGTGCTTTTTGGCTATGATTTGAATTAGCAATTCTACCATTTTGTAACAACAAATCAAATCAAACATGTAATGTACACAAGCTGCATACTAATAAAAATACTACAATATCACTTCCATGTTAAGAATAGCTCACCAGGAATCATTTTTGAAGATTTTGCTAAAACCTATAAATTTGAAAACATTGTTAGTGCATAGAAGTACCAAAGTGAAAAGAGAGCAATTAAGAAGAGCATTTAACATGTACTGCTCTTTCTAATCTCTTATGGTTTGTAATGTTATATGTACTATACAAGTAGTAAGGAATATAATGGAGCAGCTATACAACTATATGGATTCTATCCCATCCTTCTTTTGCAACTTTTTTTCTTCTTAATGATCATTTTGATGCTAGCTGACCCCTAACCCAAAACTCTTCTGGGATTAAGGCTTGGGTGTTGTTGTAATGATCGTTTTAATAATCGTGACAAGATGGTGTTAATGTGGTGTGTGGAGCAAAGACGGCAGTGCGAGGCAAGTCCAGCTTGTGCTGATCTTCTCCATCATAAGGCCTTTGGACGTTCTAAAGGCGGTGGTGGTGTCTGTTTTTCTTGAAAAAAGGCTGGATATAAAAAACTTGAACTTTTCAGGCAAACTTCCTGTTGCCATTAAATTCAGAGTCCGGCAATGAGCCTCCATTAATTTTTAGGGTGTTCTCTTTCCATGGTACTTTCTCTGATACCAAAAGAATGGAGAAAAGACAAAAGAGTGCATATTTCTTACTCAAACATGTCCTGATGTCCATCAGAAGAATTGTTCAGGGGAATTAATACACGGATTCTTATTTTTTACATTAAACATTTAAACAGAAGAAAGTGAAAACATTGTGATTCGGAAATACTGATAGAAAAGAACAACAATGGATAGGATAATTGAATTTCAATAATTATACAACAACAACAACAACAACAATTTCAATAATTATAGGTTCTTTATTTTAAATGTTATGCTTTTTCGAGCACATATAATCAACTTTTCAAGATATTGCTTATTTGTAAAAGAATTTAATTATAATAATACTTATTAAGCAGGTTAAGACTCACTAGAGTTGAAAAGTTCTTCGGCCACGAATGAGCTCAGAAAACAACCTGAAGCTCCTCTAGATAAAAAGAGGACCAAAATCAAACTATCTAAAGTTAGGTTCAACTTGGTTACATGCTGACTACCTTATAGGAATGGAGGCAGTGGTAAGCATGATTTGTAACTTATCAAGCATATAGTGCATAGACATAATTCAGAAGCGAATTTGGGAGAAACTCTCAACAGCTCATTAACAAAGCTTCAAAAGAAGCAAGCACAAATGATAAATGTTGATCATGCCTGCGCAGGGTAGCTGATGTATTTTAGGGCCTCAATCCCCATTGCTGGACCAATAGTATTTGTAATGCCAGCACCCCAGTAGCTCCACCAAGGAGCGCCACTGCTACTTCCATTAGACCAAATCTGTATCACTGCATATAATCAAACTGAACCCAATTACAAATCCGATAAAGAAGCGCTAGAAGACAGATGGAAAAATCGGTACATAACAAGAGGCTTACTCAAGAAAGACCATATCAAGCAAATCACATTTTGAGCCAGGTTTAAGAAAGCCAAATGTTCGAACCTCTTTTTGTCCGGACCAAAATGTTTCGTTGATCTATAAAACCAAAAAAAGAAATTAGTTGCTGGGTTTAATATGTAGATCAAGATATAAATATGAAGTCAGATTTTCACCGAGAAAAAATAATTAGTTGAGTCGAAAATATAAGCCAGGAAAGGTTCATGGCGTATTTTATACAGCTGACAAACATTACCAGAAAATAAAATCATGATAAAAGCGTGTCTCAGCAACGGAAAACTTCAGAGATGTAGAATGGAAGAGCGTGAATAAATAGTAGATCATTTACGAAGCTCAGCAAAACAAAAAGGTTAAAAGATAATGTAATTACACAGTCTCTTGAAGAACGCCTTGATAGATATAGGCAGACCAAATACCAGCGACGCAGAAAGCTAGGACGAGAACGCGGCGGAGCCCGGAACCGTGGTCCTCCATAATTATGTCACCGGATTAAATAGTTTCCTCCAACCCAAGCTTGCCTGCTATTGCCCCGAAGTGCGATCGCGGAGAGAAGGAAGCAAACCGGATGGCTCTTCCGATTTCTCCTAAACTGACGATGCTGCGGTGAATCGATCAACGATATATGGAGCATAGAGAGACGTTGGGTCAGAGCCACGTCAGGGATCCACGTGGCGTGACTTGATTAGGTAGAGTGAATTACAGGTGGCGTCTCATTGGCTGAGTAACACGAGATTCTCACTTTCTCACCCGTAGGGATGGATTCGGGTATTTCAATTCCTTTTTCATCCAAAATCAAATACGGGACCACAACCAAAATAATTGTGTAAATCACAATTTATCTTAAAATTGTGTATATAAAAAAGTTGTTGTATTATGTATTTATACATGTGAGTTACATATTTTTACACGTAAAGTTACATATTTCTACACGCGAGTTATATATATATACACACGAGTTGCATTTGACCTGCCTAAACGCGAGTTAAATATATTTACATGTAAAGTTACATATTTTTACACGTAAAGTTACATATTTATACACGTGAGTTACATATTTATACACACAAGTTGCATTTGACATGTCTGAACGCGAGTTACATATTCTTTTTACGTAAAGTTACATATTTTTACACGTAGAGTTACATATTTATACACACGAGTTGCATTTGGCCTGACTGAACGTGAGTTACATATTTTAACACGTAAAGTTACATATTTTTACACGCAAATGTTAATATGTTAAAATTACACAGGCAATATTGGTCTCATTTGAAAGATCATGAAAAATAAAAAAAAATTGATATAAATTTTATAAAAATCGGATCAAAAATAAAAAAATTATTAACATTTTTAAGAAAAGGAAAAATAAAAAATAACAAAGCCAATATATATGAACTCCTTCTTCACTCTCCCAGGTATACCATGCGCACCGTGAGACGGTTGCATGGTATACGAACTGACTTATGGTCACTAATCTGCAACAATGTAGACTTATACCGCAGTGTGACTGCTCATGCTACTTGAAATGGGTCCGGTTTGACCAGCCACCGAAAAGGAATTATTAGACTTGTCGGTTTTTTCAACCACCGGTAAGGAGCTCACTTTCGGTTTCACCAGCCACCAAAAAGAAAGTAATCCATTCAATGTCATTTTCCTGGATCGACGGTGGCTCAATTGGCCTCTATATTGATGTAGAAAAAATCCTGATTCACAATTGATAAAGAATCTAATACAAACCTCTTACTAGCACACAAGATCACCCGATCGATGATGGCGGGGAATATACATCTGGCGAGCGACACTTCACCACCGAAAATAACATCTCTAGACAACGCTAGGAAATAAACGTAAAAATAGAACTGAAAATACTGATGAAACGAAACCTTTTTCTTGATTGGAATCAAAAGAAGAGGAGGAAGAGAAGGAGAAGGCTAGGGTTTCCTTGCTCCTCTCTCTTCTTCTCAAGCTAGAAGTTGGAATTCTTTACATATTGTTTTTTTCTTATTTTTCCCTTCTCTATATCACTATTAGTGTTTTAAGTTAAGCTTGGTAGGCATAATTTCTTACATTTTAGCTTTTATACTACTCCCTCCGTCTAAAAATAATTGGCCATATAAATTTTAAGTATCATATTTGTGTGTAATTTATAAATTTTATAATTTTATAAAATATTTTTTTAATAAAAAATATGCTCATATAATTTTCATATTTTAAATGATTTTGTATTAAAAAATATCATTGGTCAAAGCTCGACCACCATTGACCAAGAAAAGTCAATTTGGCCAATCTTTTTGGGACGGAGGGAATATTTAAAAAGTATCAAAAAGTTTCTAATTGCATGTTTCGCAAGAGTTAACGAACCAACCGCTGTAACCATCGCTTCAAATATCAAGAATCACCAAGACCGCTGTCATAGCAGGAGCGTCGGGACCGTGCACGCTCGGAACATCAGAAGTGGGGGACTTGTGTTGGGGTAACTCGCCTGATACAAATCAGCCTGATACTCCTATGAAGAAATGGATTCAGAACCCCATTAAGGCCCCAAGCCCGAGTGGCTTGACCCGGGTGGCACGCGCCGCACGACACCACACCCTTGGATGATTCATATTGGCAACCAGGGAACTCTTGATCGGCAGGCTCGGTTTAGTTAACGGGAAATCAATGATTTGGCGGAAAGTGCACTCAATGCACCAAGATATGCAAGATTTTATGGTTGAGGATTAACCACTCAAGATCCTCCACATCACTTCTACCACCTACCCCATGGTTGTATAAATAGTTTCATTTATTTCATTATTAGGGGTTGACAACTTGTACTCTCTAGATATATCCTTTCTTTTTACTTCTTCTGTAATCACAACTTAGATTAGAAGCTCGACGCTTGGCTCGGTAGGGTGTGCTATAATCGTTCTAAGTATGTGGGAAAATGAACAAAAAAATCTCTCAAACAACCTCTTGTGCTAAGCCGCACTTCACAACTCAAATAACTCCAAAACGGCAAAATAGTCAGATTATCATTTGAACACACCAGGGACCTATTCGAGCAGTTGCGCGATAGCAGGAGGTCGCGGACTCTGAGCTCCTCGGAGCCGTTCAGCGGCAAATGGTCGCACCATGGCGATCGTGGGGATGTCACCCACCTGATTCCGACTGAGATCCGGTAGGATCCTCGACTTCGTGGGGAACTAACGGACACCATGCGACACATGGCAAACCAGAACAACACAGAGTAACTTGTTTACTCCGCAGAAATCGAACGTGCCCCCCATCTCTTATTCGACGTATGCAATCATTTGGGGATAACATGGGGGAATTTGAGGCCTCTCGCACCTTAGTCCATGCGAGAATCGACGGAACGCGGGGTTCTCGTGAGCGTGGAGGTCGAGGCCGCTCAAGCGCGGTAAGACGTCGAAGGGGTGCTGCGATAAACCGGACTCCGGTGTTTCCTCACAATAGCAACCAAACTAAGGAACCTACCCCTACTGTAAATAATGTGGGTCGTCGTTTCTAATATGTTGAGGGGAACAACCACCACATTGTACGAGTACCCCACGAGACCAAGAACGCCCGCGCCGGTGGGGAGACAACAATGGGAGCTCCCAATACACCTGTCCCACCGCACATGACATAATGGTGGCAGGCTTGCAAAGGCAGATTGACGAGCTGAGTCGTCAGGTGATCAGATTCTCGGCGCAACCCCGACTCTGCCTCACGTCGCCCTGTTCTGCAAGGATCGTGGCAGCAGAAATCCCCCGGGAGTGCAGGCCGCAGGGCAGCTTACATTGAATTGGTCTATAATGGAGTGGGAGATCCCAAAGCCCATGTACTCAGCTATGAGGGCGGGCTGATGCTCCTGGGTGCATCAAATGACGCAATCTACAGGCTATTTTTAAGCACTCTTCGGGGCCGGCCTAGGAATGGTTCGGCCGGCTACGGTCCGCAAATATCGACAGCTTTGAAGAACTATCCAGGCAACTTCTAGCTCAGGTCGTTTCAAGTTCCATCCCAAAGAGGCACTTCAGTTATCTCACAAGTGTCTGGTAGAATTTCGGGGAATCCCTCTCCAAATCTTGATATGGTGGAGGGATGAAACATTGAATGTAGAGGACCTCAGGGAGTGCACGAGAATTACCCTCTTCAACAACGCTCTCTTGATGGGGGACCTCTACCGCGATCTGAAAAGAGACATTGGGGCTGGCTACGCTGAGGTGTTGGCCCAAGCGCAGAGGTATGCGGCCATAGAAGAGGACATCGTCCTGAGGGATAGGGTACAAACGACAGCCCCTCGCAAATTGACAGTTAGGCTGGGACCGGGCCTCATGGATACCCTTGCATCTAAGCCAAAAAAGTCGCACGGCGGGTACCCCTCCTTCACCCCGCTCACGCACCTAATCGCCCAGGTATATGAAGAAATCAAGGACCAGGGGATCATTCCCCCATACTCACACGAGAATGAATATGGGGAACCAAGAAGCGTGTTGCCAATATCACAGGCGCAATGGACATATCACTGACGAATGCAAAGGCATCAAGATCTCCATCAAGGACCTAATCCAGATGGGGCACTGTGGTTAACATGTCAAAGAGCCTGCACGCCAACATCAGGCACACTGATGTTAGTTTTCTCACACTTAAAATACGTAGTAGAATAGGGTGTAAGTACGAGTATCGTCTTCAGCGATTAAAACTAAATAAAATAAATGTGATGTGCAAGATTTGGATTGGTTGGAAAATTAAATTGCAAATAAACGATTATAAAGCTTGGTTCTTTCTAATTAATGACGGAAGGAAACATGGATTGACTCTGGTGTAATCAGATTTCTGGCATATCAGGCTTAATCACATGAAAGTTAATTTATTGAGCAACGCTAATCAATACTAAGTTCTAACCGCTCTCGCGGCGTAAAGTACAATAATTTAGGGAACCAGACTGATCTCTCATGCGACATGTATCTAAATTATTGCCAAAACGAGCAAGCATACGCCCCTTAATCATTACTAATCTCTTAGCGAACGATTAAGTGTGTGTGAAGGTGTTCTAGAACAAATTAGATCTCTCTTAATTTATTCTATATGCAATTACAATCCTAGTGACCATTCTAGGTGACAAGAGATCAATTGAATCATTCAAACACAAATTAAATAACGATTCATGCAATTAAACCATCAATAAACTAGCCATACATCATGATCAACCCCTTCATCAATCCCAATAATTGAATCAACAATAGAATTGGGATGAAAAGAATTAATTGTAATCAACTAAAAAGTTGGAACTTACAAATAATCCCAGGGTATTGAAGAACAATGTGGAAAAATAGATGTAAACACGTCCATAGACCTCTCTCTAAGCTCCCCCCTCACAAAACGGGGGGTTGGGGGCTTTTTATAAAGAAAACGGACAAATTCGGGCTGAATTAGGATTTTACGGCGCAGACACGGCGCGCAAGCACGTCGTGCCCGTGTTTGTGCCTCCTGAAAATTTTTCGTCTTCGACGTCGGCCACGGTGTGCCTAGCTTGGTAGGCACAGCATGCCTTCTTGGCAGTAAGCTACCTCGTGTATAAGCTCAACGGGCACGGTGT